TGGCGAGATCATATCCACGTTGATGGACGGATCAGTAGTTTCTCCTGCAGCTTTCGTAATGTCGTACCACCAGTATCCTGAGTCATTCATCCAGTTTTTGGGCGTCACTGTTTGAGAATCGAGCGAGAAGAGTCCAGGCCCGATCCAATGATACCATGTCGCAATAAACCTGTAGAGAAACTATGATCCTCATACAAACTTGCTTCCTATGATCCAAATATATTCTTCGTGTATTTTCTATAAGTAAAGAGTGATCATTTAGGTACCAGAAATTTCTTGAACTTTATTTTTGTCTCCAGGGGTTCCAGCCAATATCTACCGCTGATTGCCATCCATTGTTCGCTGGCTTTGATCTCTTCACAAGACTCGGCGGGCATCTCAGGAATGGAGCCTAAAGAGACTTAGCAAAAGGAGCATTAAAATGGTTATCGTTCGATGGCAATTACCTTCTTGATCCACTTACATTTATTAACCAGTCAAGGATCATTTCAACAAGGTATACCCCAATGTGGTCACATCAGTATGCATAATATAGTTTGGAAGTCAACAACTCCTTGGCTGCTATGAGGTTACGTCTGATATGTCAAGTTTTATTTGATAAAACTGTTAGAATGTTGATGCTTCCTCACTCTGAAGCTAACATCTTTGAAAATAACGTAGACCACCTCCATCAAGTTCTCATCCCTCTTAGGCCCAACCTCCCTGGTTGAATAGGGGGGACTTGTAGCTGAGCCTCTCCCCCTCCCCCACCACCCTTAACCCTCACCCTCTGCCCATCCCTCCCTACCTCAGATAATCTGAGGCTTTATTATAAGAAACTGCACGAGAATTCTGCGAATTGTGTTGCAAATATATCCGGGTTTCACCTCGGTCCCGCAACCACGCTGACGGAATCCGTCATTTATCATTTCAATCTAGTTATATTGTAATCGACTAATAAAACTTTGCCATCTTTGGATGAGCTTTAAGCAGACCCCTTCTTTATGTCTTTCTCTCTACCTCTCTCGCCCTTTCTGCAACCCTACCTTTTATCAAAAGTTGATTAAAGTGCACTACCATCAGATGGAATATTTAAATTCTAGATATATGGCTGAAAACTTTTACCTAACAGGACCAATAAGTTTTGATTGTCCAAGAACTGAAAGTAGTTACGTAGATAAGTTTTTCTTTTGTACTTACTTTTTATATAATAATACTTTTTAAGACTATGTTGCTTTTTGCATTCATACCTCTGTTTTTCCACCTTCGCATGTAAAATCTAGTTAAATCTTGGACAAAATCTTCAGGTCTTGCTTCTTTGGTTCTGTTATTCAACTCACAAATTTGATCAGTTTTGACGTAATTGTAGCTTTGACAAGTGAGCTCGCTGTAGCAAAACACCCGACATTCGTACGGATCTTGTACTCGTTTTCTTTTAAAGATGTGACCTTTGAGAGCCTTTCCATTCTCTGAATGCTGAGCGGGCTCACACTGCGGACTAGCGGTCATGCGCAGAGGAAGGAAAGGTAAAAAGCAGAGAAGATAGTGTACCAGAACCATCTGCCTTGAATCGAGATATACTGCAAAGATAAAAAAAAAAAATAGTCTAGGTGCCTGTGAATAGCTTGCAAGTAGGTCTTCACCATAAGCAGTGCAAGACTCAGGGCCGTAGCTAGCATGAGGCAAGACGAGGCGATCGTCTTGTCCTGAAGTCTGGTTACAGCCTTAAAGACTGGCAGCATCTCTCCTCCCCGTGAAGATTTGAAACGAATCGGGGAAAGATAAACCGCTGCCGACTCGCGTTCCTCGTGCTAGGAAGAGAACGAAGGCTTTACTGGAAACGAACGGGGTATCTGACTTCGGTGATAAACGTTTTGGCCTTTTTTGGATAGGAAATGTTTCAGCGTATTTAAATGTTTATTCATTCGCACAGCGATGAGCGATGTATCGGAACTGTGAGAGCAATAGCCTTGTAATATGAGATATCCTTTTAATACCGTTGTCATCTCCTAATTTTCGTGGTAATTGTCACTTTCTGCGGTTTGTTCCACTTACGCACAGTGTTGCTTTGAAGGTGTCAATGATCGATGGGGGGTCCGAGGTGGGGGGTGGCTTTGACCAGTAGGCGGTTGATTTCAGTTTGTGATTTTGTACAGGAGTCCTGGACCCCATGTGGAAACAGACCACCAAAAAGTTAATTAAGTAAGACTATAAAAATAAAATAAAAAAAATTAAAAAAGATAAAAATATATAATAAGACGTGTGCGATCAAACTCAGCTGGTAAATTCAGTCTAGCTTAGCTGATTGGTTTCAAACTCCTCAAAACAGTAACTTATGCTACTCTCGTGCTCTACAAACTTCCTACTGCTTGCATCCATTTCACGATATGGCCGCGCCAAGCACGAAAAATTTCTCCATTTTACATTTTGCCTTTTATCTTTCTTCTGTTTTATTTTTTTTCATGGTCCATATTAATTACATTTGTTTTTCATAAAACGTGTACATGTTGAATAAAATGAAAAAAAAAAAAAACCTTGGAAACTTCTGCAGAGGTTTAAAATCTTCCCGTCGCTTTATTGTGCATAGATTTCAACTGAATTATGAAATGCACCGATACGCGTTGTCAAATATAACCAAATTTAATATGTTAATGCTTAGACATTTATGTCGTCTATCTCTTAGCCACCTGTCAAGTGAGAAGTTTTCATGTTCCTGTTCATTCGCAGCCAATATCCCTTCTGTATTATTGGAAACATAGTTCTTCGGCCTTTATTTCAACAATTTTCTCTCCGGCTGATTTTATTAGCTTTGAAAAAAACTTACTTATTAGGCTTCCAAAAATTGCGTAATACATAATAAAGGAAGGGTGCTATGACGAAAATAATATGCATTGAATGCCGCGTTCTAAAAATTACAAGACAAGCGTTTGATATACGTTTAACACCTGTCGGCAATATGTTTTCGAGGTGTATAGATTTTCCTACGCACGTTTTCTTCAATTCAAACCAACTTTCAAATAAACATAACACTAGTGAGTAATTTTCTACTCAAAGAGAAGTTCTTATTCCACAAGAGAATCTAAGAACATGGGGGACAATTTTTTTTTATCCAAGCATTTCCCTTTTCAGCTAGTCAGTATATCATTTTTTATTTTCTTCAGTGCGAGGCTAACTCTAGGCTCTTCATTGAGTTAGTGCAAGCAGACATTTATACGGGATTTGCGAAAATATGATCATTTATTTTTAATGACTTGGATAAAACTAGTGGATCTTTACTGAGTTTCTCAAAAGAATTCGAGGCTATATGTTTTAAAAAAGATTACCAATTAAGTAACTGCGGATATTGTTCAGTCACAACTTTAAACTTTGCAACTGAAACGCACTTTCGCATATTGTAAAAAATAATTTAGAATAATTCTGAAAGTACGAAAGATAACAATGCATTAACATGGGCAATGAGTTTCAGTAGGCATCTCTTTAGTTAGGCCTCTATATACGGGAATTTCAGTCCTGGAAAATGTGCGTTTTGATTTGTTTTTGATATAGTGCTTGGATGAGAAACTAAGGGCAGACAAATAAAGGTATCTTATCAACAAATGCAAGCTTTAAAACATACCTTCTGGGCAGGACTGAAATTTTCCGGGGGGAAGAATCACATTGATAAGGAACAAGTAGAGAAAAACCCCCATGTCTGCACAAAGTCAGCTGAAAAGAAATCCTTTCGATGTTTTGGAACTGTCAAGCAGACCGAGGCAAGCAAACCGAGGAGCTTAACAGCATTTGTTGACTAAGATGTGCCACCAATTTAAGGCTACACTTCCCAGAAACGTGTCAGCCAATCAAATTTGGACATGTGAAAGATGTTTTCCCGCACGTCAGAGAGACGCTGAGGTTAATTGATATGTACTGAAGAAGTTTATTTTGCTAGTTTATTCCTCAGGCGGTTATATCTATCTTTCACTCGCTTTCCCTAAGAACTCCTTTTGTACTTGTTTCAGTAATTAGAAGCAGCATCAAATGACAAAAATTATTAGTTAAACTCTGTGAAAATGCAAGCGAATAAAAAAAGCCTTTAATTTGGTTTTTTTTTGGATTTAAATCGATATCTCTGTGGTTTTCTGATCAAATTTCCTCAGAAATTTAGAACGCAATTTAATAAAACACGGCGTCATAAAAAAAGCATATTAGTGGAAATGTTATACAGCAACAATGTTACTGATTGCCCCAGGCGTGCAGGTATGTCTTCAACGAAAATAAATGAGAATTTTGTCTTTTAAAATGCCTTCTTGTTTCATGAAAAGCAAAGATTGGAGTAGCTGCTATCTCTTAATTTTTGTCCCTTTCGAAGCCAAAATCAACTCGCCGGAAGAAAATTAATTTGCATTCGAAGAAATTCGCTGGATAGCTGGTACTCATCATCATCAATCAATTTCATGCCTCGTGGCACATAGGGGGTTCACAGAGCTTTCCCACTCCTCTCGATTGGTTGCTGCGGTCCGCACCTCCCACGACCTCCAACCTGCCTCTTTCCTATTTTTCTCTAGCGTACGTCTCCAAGTTCAAATGTTTTTGGTCTTCCCCTTCTCCTTTTACCTTCTGGCGCCCAGCTCATAGCAACATTGCTATCAATATTACGATCTTTCCTAACAATATGACGAATCATTTTTCATCTACGAGAAATCACTTCCGCACTCAGTGGCTTCATGCCTGCCCTTTCCAGTAGCTCTTTAGTGCTGACATGGTCTTGCCATCGAATTCTAAGGGTCATTCGTAGGCACCTATTATGGAATACATTCACTGCTTTATCTTCTCCTTTGTTCATCTTCCATGTCTCAGATCCATAGAGTAAGACTGGCACTAATAGAGTTTTGTACAGCCTCAGTTTTGTTTTCCTCAATATGTTATTAGAGATTCAGATCCTCTTTAGTTTGTTAAAGACACCTCTGGCTTTTGATAAATTGTTCTTCAAGTCCTTCGTACCACCACCCTCTCTACAAACTTTGGCCCCCTAGTACACGAACTCATCGACATCTTCGATACCCTGTCCATTGATTATGATCTTTTCTTGGTTCTTTGCATTGATCCTCATCGCTTGTCTTTTCTTTGTTGATTTCGAGTCCCACCTGTCTGGCCTCTTTATCCAGCCTTGTTGTTTTCTCCTGAATCTGCTCCTTGGTAGATGAGAGCAGGACTATATCGTCCGCAAAGTCCAAGTCATCCAGTTTCGAAGTAAACTTCCATCTAATACCATTTTCACCACTGCCAACTGCTCTTGGCATTACCCAATCCATAACAATCAAGAACAAAATTCCCGACATACTACATCCTTGTTTTACACCATTTTTAATGTCAAACCACTCACATGTTTCCTCCTGATCTTCTACAGCACACTTGAAGTCGTCATAAAATACTCTTACTATCTCCACGATCTCCTCTGGTATTCCATACTTGGCCGTTATTACCCACAGACTTTCTGTGCTGGGAGTACTCCAAATTTATTACATCGTTCGCAGCGCCCGTGCGCAAGATGAGGCGAATTGTGTGTTCTGATTGCCTACCCGAGCCGCCAAGTTGGGCTGGGGATGCCCCCATTGATTCCGGGCATGAAAATAAAATTGAATTAGAGCAAGGTTCATAGATTTTGGACAGTGTGGGCGATGGAAACGGAAACCACGGCAGAAGATAGTTCAAACAAAGAAAACAGAAACGATTCTCGTGATTTTGTTGTGCTACAAGCACAGTTGGCTTTCTTTCATGACTCCCAAACTAGACAAGTCATTCTTAATTCTTGATATAGCGAAATCTTTCTGCGATGAATTAGATCCTTTATTAACTAAGCTTGTTCTGTCAAGATGGCTGGATGTAGGCCTCGTCCTTTGCGAAAAAGGAACCCGGCCAATATCCAGCTATCTTGACCTCACGCTTGGTTAATAACGCATGTAACTTGATGTGTCGCCCTGGTATTCTGGAAAAGAAATCAGGGCTCAAAATCCGTCGAAATCCTCCCAACTGCTACAATCTTTCCTCTCCATGATTTGTTTAGCTGGATTTGTTAGTCACAAGGAATTGTTGAGCTTATTGCTCAAGAAGGTTACGGTCAGATAAAGCATAAAATCATAAATGACAAGAAATTATCTGCAGAAGGAGGTCCTGTTTATTGTGCTTCATAAGCTAGATCCTAGACGACATTGCAAAAATTCTTGCAGATTGGCATGGCTGTATGCTCGCTGTTCTCTACCTAACGTTTTTAGCTTTTTTGCTCGTATTTTAGAGCAAAATATTATGTCTCTAATGACCAGAATTCCACAATTAGTTTTTTATCTTTGATATTCTATACACTGCGCGTGATTTATGACGTGATTCAACAAAAGTTATAGGGGATGCACCTTCCCATCAACTTTGTTGTGGCTGGCAATTGCCTTCTAAAAGGGGCGTGCCATATATATTGTCCAGATGAGTGAGTGAGTTAGTGAGTGAGAGTGTAACAGTAGAATTTCCATCTGAACCCAATTTTGACCCTATTTTTCCCGGTGATACCTATCGGCTTTTTTCAGAGTATCTAAGTAGTTCGACATTCGCACTTGATAAACATTAAATCCGAAAACCGTTTTGAATCCAGTGAGCTTATTGGTGTAAATGATTTGAGAAACGAATCTGGGTACATTTCCTACGGTCATCATAGTTTGCTATTCTTTCGCAGTTGAACAGCTTAAGATCGTATCAAAATCCATTCTGTTCTTCATACAACATGACGAAGTCTCCCTGATATCTTCTTTTGATTCTCTCCCATTCCAAATCTTCGTAATCCTTTTGGGAGGAATATGCACCAACAACTACAAGCAGAAGTTCAACTTCGCTATCTGTCTAACTTAAATTTGCATTTCTCTCCACACGACTCACTAGGAATCTCGGGAATGGAGCCTAAAGAGACTTGGCAAAAGGAGCAATAAAATGGTTATCAAACAACAACAAACATATGAAACATATGTATGAACTGCGGTTATGAAACGTATATGTGCACGATCCTTCGCAGTAAAGCACTATTTGAGCAATAGTGAAAATCAGACCTGAAAAAAATTTCAGGCCTGTACGGGACTCGAACCACTGACCTCTGCGATACTAGTGCAGCGCTCTACCAATTGAGCTAACAAGCCAACTGGGAGCAGGCCATCAAATTAATTCGATATAAACCCGTAGATGATAAATCAAACAACAACAAACATATGAAACATATGTGTGAACTGCGGTTATGAGACGTATATGAGAACGATCCTTCGCAGTAAAGCACTATTTGAGCAATAGTGAAAATCAGACCTGAAAAAAATTTCAGGCCTGTACGGGAATCCCGTACAGGCCTGAAATTTTTTTCAGGTCTGATTTTCACTATTGCTCAAATAGTGCTTTACTGCGAAGGATCGTTCTCATATACGTCTCATAACCGCAGTTCACACATATGTTTCATATGTTTGTTGTTGTTTGATTTATCATCTACGGGTTTATATCGAATTAATTTGATGGCCTGCTCCCAGTTGGCTTGTTAGCTCAATTGGTAGAGCGCTGCACTAGTATCGCAGAGGTCAGTGGTTCGAGTCCCGTACAGGCCTGAAATTTTTTTCAGGTCTGATTTTCACTATTGCTCAAAAATGGTTATCGTTCGATAACAATTACCGTTTAGATCAACCTACCTTTTATTGACTAAGCAAGGATCTTTAATTTCAACAAGGTATATTCCCTATTAAATCGCATAATATGGTTATATTTTTTTTCATTTTTATACTAGTCTTTAATTCAACAATACTGATAAACACTATGTTTTTTGCATCCATACCTCTGTTTCTCCACCGTGGCATGTAAAATCTAGTTTTATCTTCGACAAAATCTTCAGGTCTTGCTTCTTTGGTTCTGTTATTCAACCCACAAATTTGACCAGTTTTGCCGTAATTGTAGCTTTGACAAGTGCTTGTAAATAACTACCGAGTATACCTCCATCATAAGAAGCGCAAGACCCCCGAACAAGAATATTTGCAACGAATCGGCGAGTGGTTTGCTGTCGCTGACTCGTTTTGCTCAAAGCCTCATACGAAACACTCGTGTCGAAGTACTAATAACGAGACACAAATTTATGTTCATTCGGGTATACTTTTAGATAGAAACTTTTTTTATGCCTGCATTTGCCTAGGTTTTTAAGAAATTATTGGTATATCTCTTAACTGCTTTATGACTTGGTATGCCAAGGATGCATTTTTCTCGCATATCTCTACAAGGAGCTGAAAACAGCATTTGTTACGTAGTGTGAAGCCCTTTTCTGAGGTGGGGGGAGGTAGTGTCATATATTATTGGATATCGTTTCAAGACTTATTGCTAGACACCATTTCTTTTTTTTTTTGAGTTTTGACTGAATTAAAGTGTTTTGCAGGTTAAGGGGTTGTAGGGGGTAAGTCATTTGCCAGATAGCCTGTCTTCTCGTGTGTTGTCTTTTTTTGTTAACAAAAGATTCTAGGCTGAGAAGGCTTTTTCAATTATGAACAGCTTCTAATGCTTATTTTTCTTATCACCAAAAGGAAACAAAAAGTCACTACCGAAGCTTGTTAGCAGATGATACCTGGTTGTGTTCTAAACTTGATTTACGGTTGGTGGTTGATTACTAATCTCACTCATTTTCTGCGGGACACCTTAAACAAATAGCTTCACATTTGTTAAACATGATACGACAAAAGTGTAACTTTGACGAGACCGAACTCCGATGAAAATTCGTACCCAAAAAACTTAATAACTTCCATTTAAGTCTAATGATCTAAGTGGTAAGACCTTTCAGTTATAAACTCCCAACTTGTGTATATTATTTCAAATCGCAATTTCCTCACCTATCCTAAAAGTTATTATGACAGAGCGCGCGTAATTCCTAATGCGCTAACATGGTGTAGATCTCCTCAAACAATAACTTCGACTGCCTCCACACTGTGGAACACTTTGCCGTCCGATATTATGAACAGCTCCTCAGAGTCCGTTTTAAAAAAGAACCTGAAAACTTTCCTTTTAAAAAAAGCATTTTTATAATTTTACCATTGTGTGGCTCTTGCTAAGCGCTTTTGAACTTTGAGGATATTAGCACTATATAAATACTATATTATTATATCATTATCGTCATTATCGACTGCCCGGTGATAAAAGTGACAAGATATGCGTGTTGGTATATGCTTAACACCTATCAGGAATATGTTTTCATGGTGCTAGCGTTTAACCACGAGAGTTTCCTCAAAAGATTTCAACTAAACATAACACCAGCGAATAATGATATACCCAAAGAGAGACTGTTATTCAACAGGAGAATATAAAAAGAAAAGAGGCAATTACTTTGAATTCAAATTATTTCCTTTCCAACTAGTTAATTCATTAGTTTTACTTCCCCGAGTGCGAGGCTTTTCATTGACAAAGGCTCTTCCTTAAGTGCGTGCGAGCACCAGAAATATAACCGGATTTGCGAAGATATTTCATTCACTCTGGATAACGATGATAAAACTTTAGTAGATCTTTATATCAGTAGTCGTAGAGTCTTTGAGAAAAGCTTTCGTCTTGAAATATCTCTTGGCCTCACCTGAAGCAACTCTTATACTTCTCTCGGGCTCTGCAAACTTCCTGCGTGCATCCATTTCACGACATGCATGCGTCAAGTGCGACCAGATTTTTAATTTTACATTGTGATCTTTATTTTGTTTTTGTTCTAGTTTGTTTTTCTCATAATCCATAACAATTATATTTGTATTGGGTAAAACGTGTACATAGCAAAGAAAATCAAACAAACTCTCGGAAATTGCTACTGAAGTGTAAAATCTTCCCTTCGCTTCATTGCGCGTAGGTCTTAGTTGAATTAGGAAAATGTTCCAAATAAAGATATGTTAAATATAACGAATTTTAATATGTTCACAGTTACACATTCATTCGCAGTCAGTATTCCTCTCGCACTATTAAAAGTAACATAATTTCTCTGTCTGCATTTCAACAATTTTCTGTCTATTTGTATTGGCTATGGAAAACATCCTCATTAAGCTTCCAAAGATTGCGTAATACATAACACAGGAAGAGTGCCATGACGGAAACAATATGCCTCGAATGCCGAGTTCTAAAAGTTGCAGGACAACCGTTTTGGTATATATTTAACAACTGTCTGCAATAAATTATGTTTTCGGAGTGTAGAAACGAAAAATTAAATTATGACTAAATATGACTAGATATGAAAATGGCAAATAATGATGTACCCAAAGAAAGATTCTTAATTCGCAGGAGAAGGTAAAAAAACAAGGGAAGTAATTAGTCGAATTCAAAACGATTCCTTTCCAACCAGTTAATACATAAACTATTATTTCCCTGGGCGAGACGATTTTCATAAACATAGGCTCTCACTTGACTGCGTGCGAGCGCCAGACATTTCCACGGATTTGCGAGAATATTTTATTAAGTTTGGAGGAACTTGATAAATCTTTGGTGCATCTTTTGTCTGAAAAGAGTTTGACACTATAACCAGCAAAAAATATTACCAGTTAACAAATTGCTAAGATTTTCCGGTCTAAAATAAAAATAACTAAAACTTTACA